GGAGGATTGTACACAGAGGGAGAAGTTATTTTTCCTTGACATAAACATCCAAGCCTTTCCTCAGCCCCTTCGCTTGAAACGTGGAGGTAGGACCTGGACTCATAACATCCGGCAGGAGGGGTTGGCCTTATCTGCCAGGAAACACTCAGCTCCGGATACATCCTCCCCTGCTCCCGGCACCCCAAGCAGCTCCCATTGGCAGTGCCGGGCAGGAAACCACTCAGCAGCTTGTCTCATTCCCTCCTCTGGAGAGACGGGAGGGAGGGCCTGATCCTGTCCTCCCTGTGCAGCTCCCCGCGGGGTGCAGCGGTGTTCGGGTGAGACAGGGGCAAAGAGAGATGGAGGGGGACGGTGTTTACTCGTGAGAAGAATGGGGTTGACAGGGGCAAAAAGGGATTTGGGGGAGTTGGCGGTGCCAAGGGTCTCCCCTAGGCTCTGCTGCTGATTTGCAGGGTGACCTCAGTCAAGTGTCCTTGGCCCCCTTCTCTGCCTCTACTTCCCTCCCCTGCCTTCTGCTTTGAGAGTGGCATAGGGAAAATCATCATCTCCCAGCTAATTTCGGCATCCAGAGCCCTCATGTGGGGTAGAAACCCCTTGTGATAAGGGCAGCACAAGCACTTGGTCCTGTTCAGTCTTGGTAAGATGATGTCCCAGTGGCTGGACAGAAAAAGGGCAGGAGGAAGGAAGTAGTACCTCTATTTTACAAACAGGGAAACTGAGGCACGGAGCAGCTGTGTGGCTGCTTGTCATCAGGGTCTACCCCTGCCCAGTGGCACTGGGACAAGCAGATGTGGCCAGTGGAGCGAGGGTGGAGAGGAGCCACCACTTGCTCAAGGGATGCAAAGGAAATCACCCATCCTGGGAGGGCCGGGGCATGACACACGCTGCAGCTCCCGGCCAGCCCAGAGCCCAGATCTCCCCAGGAAGGTGACCCCATCCCCACGCCCAGCACCATGACCCATGCAGCTATGGGGGCCAAGGGCTGGCTGGGGCTGCCAGGCACCAGGGTCAGAGGACTCAGACCCTGGCCACCTCCTAGCAAGGAGCCCTGGCCCAGCCCCATACCCCTAAGTGGGAGCCCGAACGTGGCGTGAGGTCATTTTATCCCTTCCTGCAGCCCTGATTTGATCTTCCTGCTGGTTCCCAGCCCATCCCAGCCTGGAGAAAGCAACCCACAAACCACAAGACTCCTCAGAGTGCACAGAGACAGCCTTGGGCTCGGGGGTTTGGGATGGGGAAGGAGGAGAAACATGCCCAGGACTGATGTAGAACAAGTCCCACTTGGGGTGGAGATCCCCCCAACATCCATAAAGCACCCTGACCATGAGTCCATGGCAGGGATGTCCACTTTCCACGCAATAAAGGCTCCTTCCCACCTCCATCAGCCACTTCTTCTCTGGCTGGTCCCTGCAGCAATGCCCTGCATCCCCAAAACACGCTGTGGAGTGGTGGGCAACCCCTAGCATTGCATTTTCCATCCCCGCCGGAGAAGGGGTGGATGACTCCAGTCCCAAATTTCAACTCTGCTGCCGGTGGGTGTCCTGGGAGGTGGAAGCTGGCTGCTCCTGGTGCTGGGCGCGTGCCCAGATCCGTCCGACGGAGCCTGGCTCCCAGGGAGCCGCACCTCGCCTTGGCTGCAGCTCCCAACGCCCTCGGGGGGCCCCGGCTCCCGGTTGGGGCCTGTAGCTGTTCCTGACGTGCAGAGAGCATGGGGACACGCTCCCACCTCTCCTCACGTGGCTCCAGGTTGAGCAAGTGGGGACAGGCTTGGCTCGCAGGAGTCTCCATGCATCCCAGCCCAGTGAGCTCCTCAGGGCTGGGATGTACAGAGAAACCCCCTTTTCCCAGGGAAACCAGACTCCGGCCACTGCAGCACACGGTGCCGGGAGCTCTTGGCGTGGGCTTTGCCTCCACCAACCCCGAATGCGACTCAGTCTGTGAGAAGGGAAGGGGAAGAAGAGGATCGCGGGGTGTTTCAGTTGATCCTGTCGTTGCTCGGGGCATGGGAACAAGGAGCAGGACAGGCAGGAGCAAGCCGGTGTTCCACAGGGAGGGTCCCATCGGGGGGATAAATGCCCTGGGGTGGGGGAACCTCTAACAAGAGCCTGCCTGGAAGGAAGCAGCCCCCTGGGTTTGCTGGTTGCAAGGCAGACCCAGGTTTAGGCACATGCACTTGGGCCACCCCTGCTATGAACAATTTTTAATGTGCTGCTGGGGGGGCTGTGATCATCCCTTGGCCCCAGGGCACCGCAGGGATTGTGGGCAGAGCAGGAGGTGGGAGGAGCAGGATTTCTCCAGCCCTGCTCCTGCTCCTGACGTGGTCCCACGTGAGTCAACGCCACTGGGCAGAGAGGCCAAACAGGCTCATGGCACCTCCCTCCCTCCAGCCCCGTTGGGCAGATTCACAAATCCTCTTGGAAGAGCGACGCTGCCCCAACCAGGCTGCTGCGCCGGCCACCTCGGCACCGCGCCAAGCGTCGCACCCTTGTGCTGTGCTGGTGCAAGAGCCACCGCAGTCCATGGTGCCAGCAGGACACCCAAAGGCATTCATTTCATTCCGCCCAAAAGGGAAACCAGCCGCACGTGGGCGAGGGTGGGTTTGGAAGCCTGAGCGATGGGCAGAGGAGGAGGCAGCATGGGTGATGGGAGGGCTGTCTCCAGGGGGGCTGTGAGTGGGCGACAAAGGACGATCATAAGCACAGAACAGGGGTGTGTTGGTGCCTCCCAAATACTCATGCAGCCTCCCACCTTCTGGGACCATGGGCTCCCTGAGTCAGGATAAGCCATTTATGGGAGGCAAGTCAGCCCAGTTGGGTGGGGTTGCCTTGGGTTGGGTTGAGTGACCTCTGGAGACCCTTTCCAGCCAACACAGATAAGCAGCTATCACAAAGTGCATTAGGAAGCTTGCTCATCTGCTTTTTGGGACCAAGCAGGAGGACACTGCTTTGGCAGGTTTGCATGGCTCAACCTCAAGGACCGCAGGGGCACAGCTTAATTTAATGTCTGGCAAAAGCAGGCTGTGATGCTGGTCCACAGACCGCAAGAAGGACTAAGCTTTTCTCTTTAGTGATGCCTGAAGGCCACCACCCCACATCCACTGACAAGAGCACCCTTCATGCAACTCCCCTTGCATTTGCACCGAGGAACCCTTTACATGGCCCTCACCCTGTGGAGCATCTCAAACGGTTCACCAGCATGAACCGTGAAAGACAGCCTTAAATGTGAATAAAAACCACGCTCCAGGCACAGGCCAGCACCGTCGGTGCTCACCAGCACACCAAAGGCAAAGCTTTGCCTTCGCTGGAACATCCACACAGGACCTGGCACTGAAAGGTCGTGTCCATGGGACGGCAAAAGCGGGATCAAGGCCACCAAAGTGACTTTGCTGCCCCTGAGACACACCAGGGAAGGTGAAGGTCTGCACACACCGTGCCTCACGCTGGTTTGTTAGAAAGCAATCCACAATTTGTAAAGATAACCACAGATCTTTTTTATTTAAAAAAAAATGGAAGTAGAAAAGTTTGGCTGAAAATACCAACAACAACAAAAAAAATTAAAAAAATAGCACTCGCCCAGGAAATGTTTCTGTTTTGAAAACTTTGTCAAGAGCTACAGCAATTTAAATCATAAAACAATCATCGTATAAAAACACATTTATTTAAATTAAATATTTTATGCAAACTCATATCTACACTCATTCAAAATGCATAGAGTCACACAAAAAAGATGGAATGTATTAGCTTAAAAACCTGTGAAGTTGGGGGGTTTTTTTAAGTATTATTTGCAATTATTATTAATACACGTTTGGGGCTGAAACCAGAAAATCATAGCCACGCTACTAACTAATCATTACCAAGTGCCATACAGTAAACACTAAGATTAATCATGTCATATAACTGATTTAAAATAAAGCTTCATCTTTATGAAAAGGAAGAGAACTCGAGCAATACAAAATCCGAGGGGAGGAATAATGGAAGGAATAAATCAATGTACAGCTTTATTACAAGCAATAATACGCCGGAGTTAGAAGAGGCATTGGGCACGGCGGCTCGAAACGTGCAGCCTTCGCCTTCAAAGGGTGTTTGATAAAAAAGGTCTCTGCTACATCATCACCTCCTTGCCCAAGTGCTCGCCCCAGGACCCGTTCCCAGCCCGGCGGGGAGGGCAGCTCGCACCGTCGCCTGCCTCGGGAGCACTTTTGCTGGGAGGCCAAGGGGAAGCCATGGCTGGGGGTGGATGCCAGCCGGATCCTGCCTTCCCAAGCCCTGATCTTACCTTCCTCTGAACGCACGGGCCGAGCGCCCTTGGGGCTGGCTGCCCCCCTGCAGCCTCCTGCGCATCCCTGGGCTGCCAGCAGCATCCCCAGTGTCCCAGCATCCCTGCTGTCCCAGCATCCCTGCTGTCCCATCCCCTCCAGGGATGAAGCCCCCAACTCATGGTCTGGGGACAGGGTGACAAGGCAGGTTTAACCCTCACCGCTGTGGTCAGGCAGGTCAGGGTGGCTGCAGCAATGCAGATACCAGGAGCTGAGAATGGCTTGCAGACCGTGCACCCCTTTACCAAAATCTTCCCTTTTCTCCCCATCCCTGCCTGCCTTTTCCCCTTGCAGGGGGTTTTGCCCCTGCCAGGACTTCAGACCTGCTGTTTGCAAGATGCTGCCATCCTCCCAACCCCAAAGCAGAGCTGGGGGACCCCAAAACAGGAGGCAGCCTTCCCGTGCTCCCGGGAGCATCTCTGCTTTGGAAGAGGGATGAGGCCAAAGGGCTTTGGCATTGGGAAATCCCCCCCCAGCCCCGTTCGGAGCACGGCACCCGAGGCTTTGCACCGGTGGCAAGCTGATGACCTAAATCCTTTACCTACGCCACCAAGGAGACTCCACAGCCCTCGCGGATCGGACTCGGTCACCCTGAGGGGCGGCGAGCGATGTCCCCGGGGAGCAACGCCTCGTAATACTGTGTCGGGTCCTTCCTTGGCCGGTCCAGGCGGCCCCGGCCGGGAGTCTAGGAGACGCTGTAGTTATTGTAGTAGGTGGCCGTGGCATCAGCAAGGACAGAGATGAGGCTGGTTTCGGAGGTGTGGGAGCTGCCAGCTGCTGGGACGTGTCCATTGACCAAGACCCCGCCGTGGTGGTCGCCATGGCTGGGGTTGTTGAGATACTGGTCAAACTCATTGCGGTCCATCTCCCCCAGGAGCTCGGCTTGGCTCAGCTGGTCCAAGGTGTCAAAGCTGTGGTGGTCAGGTGGTGGGGAAAGCTGGCCCAGGTGGGCATGGAGGCTGGGGGGGTGCAGGGAGGAGAAGGAGGGCGTGTAGTAGCTGGGAGGAGGAGGAGGAGGAAGGGGAGGGCAGCTGGAGGGCGGGGGGATCATGCAGGTGGTGGGCTGCGGCATGGGGCTGAGAGGGTGGTGGTTGCACGGGAGGGAGCTGCCCGCGTACTCCGGGGAGTAGGTGGCTCCAGCGAGGTGGGAGCAGTGATGCTCGTCGGGGCAGGGCGAGGAGAAGAAGCTCTGCTCGGGGTCTATGGCGTCCAGCGGAGACATCTCCGGCGGGGTGGGCATCCCGTAGGGGTAGGTGTCCACGCTGGTGCTGCTGCTGCTGCCCGGGGCCTCCCGGTATCCCCGGACGGCTGGCAGCCCCGGGCGAGGGGGGTACTCACCCGGCCCCTCTTTCTCTCCCGCGGCCCGGCCACAGGTCCGCTTCTCCGGCACCGCGTTTTGGTCCCGCGTCAGGCTGCCCAGCAAAAACCCGGGGTCCACCCGCTTGCAGATCCGCTTGACCTGCTTCTTCCGCCGGGGCCGGTATTTGTAGTTGGGATAATCTTGCATGTGCTTCACCCGCAGCCGCTCGGCCTCCTCCACGTAGGGACGCTTC